CCCCCCCCCCCCCCCCCCCAAAAAAAACAAAAAAAAAAACAAAAACAAAAGAAGGTGGTGGCACCACGGCGGTGGTGTGGTTTCATGGGTGGCTGATCCTGGCATGATAATTGTGGGGATTTGAGTCGTCTTAGGTTACCTGTTTGCCACATGAAACTGCGAAATGTAATTAATTTCCCTCCTCTGGTGGTGGTTCGTTACTTCGTTTAGATCTTCCCAATTGCTACTTACCCACCTACACACACACACAAAAGTATCCATTAGAATGACAGTAAATATAGTCCAAAGTGTATAGGAGAGTTAATCTCAAACCACCAGAATGTGTGTGGATCAGTTTCTCCACAGAAATGGTTTCACTGACTGTTCTTGTGTCAAGAAGAATGTCCTTCATCTAGGCACTACCAGCTGAACTTGATATTGGGCACTGCTCTTTCTACTCGTCCTCCTGCTTCTTCTTCTAAAATCTCCAATACCCATCCACTTCCTCCTTTGTTAAGGACTTGTTTCTCTGAAACATCACTGAAAATTCCAAAACCTTTATGCAGATGGAATCCATCCTTGGAAGAAAAATGGAGCTTTTTTTAGTAGGACGATATGGTCAAAATTGTTGAAGTAGTTTAATTAAGAACTCATTAATGACCAAACTCAAACCTAAAAAAATACTGAAATCCCAATACGTTCTTATGGGTGTTGATGTATCAAAATATTGACAGAATGTAGAAACAAAATGTCATCATAATGGGTCTTGATATATTAAAATAGTTGGCAAATATAGAGCATATATACCTTCATGGGGGTTTTTTTTAAATGCCATACTGGGAAAAATCATTGATAAAGATGCATATGTAATTAAGAAAATGCATTTAAAAACTAAAAACTCTCAATTGACATCCAAATATACTCCGTATTATAGAACTATTAATGTGTTAATAGTTTCATTCAAACTTCAAATAAAGCATTTAAATAAATATCTGGTGCTTGCGCGAAAGCTAAATTCATCAGAAGGAAGATGATCTGATGAATACCTGGTTTGGACTGCTTTTCTTCTTCCATGGCCACCATCCCCAAATGTGTGGGGTCTTCTAGCATCATCTTTGCCACCAGGTATCCTCCAATGGATCAATATTTGGTGCTTGCGCGCCTGCTTCCCCACGAACCTCCCCTGCTTCCCGTCGTAGTATTCCGGCCACCCATATTTTGGCAGCTTCGCCTCTGCCAGCTCATCTGCCCGTCTCGCCACCTGAGGACTCCCTGTCTTGATGCAAGCTGCAGTCACCAGCTAAAGTTTTCTCCCGGCCAAGATCCACCGTTGTGGTAGCTCCACCTGGTGTTCTTTGGGTCACACCCAGTCACAATGCGCCACTTGTGCCCTTCAATCCCAGGGTAGCAGACCTTCATGGGCATCTCCCCGACCAACTCGTGCCATCGACACTCAATCAGGTCCACTCCTGGTCGGGCGTAGCCATGGAAGAGAGGATAGGCAAGTGGGAATCTCCAACCTTATCCCACAAATGTTCATTGAGTTAAATCTAGAAAGATGAAGTAAAAAATATATTTTCACAGTAAAAAGTAAGCTTCCAAACAATCAAAAAGCATGACTGTGAACTCAAGATGCTAAAGTGGGCAAAACATGAGAAGAATTACAGAAATATAGGTGTCCAAATATTAGAGAGAGGGTGAAGTGTGTTGTGTAAATTATCACCTCCATTTTAATAAAAATAGCGCAATAGGATTCTTTGCTTTGCCACTGCAAATATCCAACTGCCCAATAATCAAATATATCCTCCACTTCAACCTCTTCCTGCAACAAATTATACACAAAATCCATGAACAATAAATTCAAATAAAAACTATATACTTAAAAAGTATTGTTTTTAAGAATAAATATTATTAACATTTAACCCTTATTCCTTGAATCATTTATATATGAATAAAACTGAGCTAATAAGGACGCAAGTCTTTTTAAAAAAATTGAAAATATTACCATTTGACCCTTTTCCTTCAAATGCCATAGGGAGTGGATGGTCTTTCTCACCTTGTTCTTCTTCTAATTCTTCATCTCGATTTCTTGTGGCCTTGCTCAATTTATTAACATTTTACTTTTCAAAAGAACAACTGAGCAACGAAATTTAGCACACAGCTGGAGGCCAATAAAATACATATTTGTAGGTAAGGAATCTAGTTTGTGCTCACTGCAAAATGTAGATTTTCCCTTTGCTGCCAAGATAAAGGAATTACATCATACAAAAAATAAAGTTAAATATGTCCCCTTCAAGTCTAGTTCAATCTCTTTTTTATGAAGTGTGAATAACAATCAAATTACAGCAAAAAAAAAACAAAAAAGAGGAAAAATTCAAGAAAACCACTTCCGAATTTGCCAAGACCTTTTTTTCTGTTGCAGTACCCAAAGATTACATTTTAAAACCAATTATTGTACAGAAGTTGGAACCAACAAATTGTTGCTCAGGAGCTTCATATAGACTTACAAAGAAGTAGGATCCACAGTCGTCTTCGCTGCTTGTGGTACCATCGCAGGTATGAGCCACCGCTGTTTAAAATCCAGACCTTGTCGGAATCCATGGTCACAGCTTGTGGTTGTGTCGTCGCCCCCTGCTTCAGTGGAAGTATAGAAACCCTAGGCGGCGTTTCCAATTTATTTTATTGAATGAACAAATTGGAGGAGATGAGAATGAATAATGGAAGGAGACAGCTCTGATAAGCTTATGAGACACGTGATTTCTTCAGAAGATAAGCGAAGGGGAAGAAATTAAAAGGAGAAGATGAATTGATGGAAGAAACGCAATTCGGAAGAAGTATGGCGTATAACTCGGGAAAAGCAGGTTAGCTTCTCCCATACGCTCCCTCTGATCAATGCCACTGCTCTCTTTTTAGGAAGCATCATTCCTTGTGAACAGCTGGCTAAAAGGATAGGACACCCCATCCCCATTCATGCTAGCAGAAGCCCAAACCCAACCCGTTACTGTGTGTAATTGGATATCAAATTTTAGGCGGGAACACTGTTCCAATTTGCATCCTATCCTTGTTTATAGATAGATTAGTTTGATTTTGATTTTGTTGAAGAAGATGAAGAGATTTGACTTTGTAGAAGAAGATGAAGAACTTTAATTTTGTTGAAGAAGATTAAGTGATTTGAATTTGTTGAATAGATTTGATTTTATTGTAGAAGAAGAGATGTTGGATTTTGATGTTGATATTGATGAAGAAGAAAACACGCATGAGAGATGGAAGCAGATGATTGGTCTAAGACGGAAGATAACAAGAGGGCAAATTTGAAAAGTCACTATTTTTTTCATTCAAGTCAAAACGAGAAGTTTTAACTTGGACCAACATGCACAAATAAAAATAGATTGTACTCAATGTGAGAGTCCCTACTTATTAATTGGGGAATTCTAAAAGTAAAATTTTATCACTGTAATTTTTTATAACATTCCTTGAACTTTAGAATTATTATATTCTTAAAAAGGCGCGTCCTTTAAATTTTTTTAAAACTCCCTTAGTAATAGGTATGTGGCTTACATAACTTCTCTTATCAAAACAAATTCTAACCATTTACTATTTCGTAATATTTTTCTTAAATTTCTTAAAAATCAAGCGATAAAATTTTAATAGGAGAGTGAGATAGAATGAAAAATAAAAATTCATGTAAACTAAAAATATGTCTTTAGAGATGGAAAAAATGAGCATTTCTATGTGCTTATAAGTCGGTAAAACTGCTTATAAGCAGTTTTTAATCTATAAATCAGCTGATGACATATTTCTGTGTACTTATAAACTGATTTACAAACTGCTTATAAACCAAAAAAATAAGTAGATTTTAACTGCTTACTTTTAAGTCAATTTTTTACTTTCTCTTTTTTGACAAGATTATTTATAAAATTATCTCTCACCATTTATGAACATTTACAAATGACTTATTTATTATTTTAATCATTTTACATCCACAAAAATATTTGACTTATAAGCAACTTATAAGTTAAAAATATTTATGAGTAATAAGTCAACAAACACCAATACAAAAAAGCACCTGCAAAATAAATGTCATAGTAGGAATATTCCATTTTGTTTGTATACCATAAACATACACTACAACAAAGTGTCGATATTGCACCGGCACTTTTGCCAGTGTCAAACCGACACTTTGTGCCAGTGTCGCACTGATACTTTGTGCCATTGTATGTCATGATATACAAATTAGGGTACCCCTAGCTTTTTTCATAAAATAAATTTGAAAACTTCCATTCGCATTGGTGTTAGATCCATGGCCATTGATGAAGTTACTTCCTAAATCATCATACAAAGTAGCAAAGGAAAATTTGGTGTGTCAATTTGATTTTACCCATTATTTACACGAGGCACAAAAGACCAGTCTCAAATCTCACACTATGTTTTGAGTTGAATAAAAACTCAGCATCTGTTGTCACAAATTATAACTGTACACAAAACTTGACAACTTCTAACACCAACTCTTCTTAGCCAATAACATTTCAACAGAAACACCAACACATCACTCTAGCTTTACTCTGTTTTCTTCTAGATGTTGCTTCTTTGGCTCGGCCGGGAAGTATTTGATACCAACCAAATCGCCGACTCTGCTGATAACCTATGAGGGATGAGAGATTTTTCAAATTTGTCAACGAAGAATTAGAAGAAAAAAATTGCGCAAAATTGTTATGATGAAAATGGGATAATCGAACCTCCAATGCTTTGAGAAGATCTTCCCTCGTGTGAGAAGCAGAAATGCATATCCGCGCTCTGGCTAATAGTAGGGGAGTTGCAGGAAAAGCAACCGTTACTACAGCCACCTATTAAACAACATCATACACGGGATTGAACATTTAATTTGATAAGCATACAACAACAAAAAAATGCTTTCTGTATACGATTCTTGTGTAAACCGTACTTTTTTCGTTATGCATATACACAATGTATTTGTTTTCATAGACAAATGGTGTTTGTGGTATGTGTGAGAGGATATGGGAGGAGGCATGAACAAGAAATGCGAGAAGAGAAAAAAACCATGTTATGTGTGAATAAAAAGGTGTGCAAATAGCGCGAATGTAAATAAAAGAAGCTATTTAAAAATATGGAAGAAACCAGTTCAGGAGTGGATCAAGTGGACCCCCCCCCCCACACACACACTTTTCCCAACTAACAGTTAACCTTTGAAAGTTTTGATCATGAAAATCCTGCATTGTGCAGCTTTGGAAGAAGATATACTCATGTATGTATTGAGATGATAGCAGTTAGTTTTACGAGAGAAAAAGGGAGGAAGAAACATTACATTCTGCTTTAGACACTCTCGTGAGAATGCAGGTATTTTGGAAGGATTATAGAGCATTATAGGCATTACAGGAGAGTCATTATCCCCCAAGACCTCGAAGCCCATTTTTTGTAGTTCCGAGCGGAAAAAATTGCTGTTCTCGCGTATACGTGTTAGTTTTTCAGCTCCTGCATTCACAGGATCATTACTTCAATGGAGTGATAAATCATTACAGTAAAAATTAAACACCAGTCAAGTTACTCCATTCCACGCATAGTAACACCACACTAAGCATCTGGCCTTGAGGGATTGAAAACATTCTTACCTCGACTAGAGCCATCTTCTCCAAGAATAACTTTTATGGAAGAAATTATTTGTTGGGCAGCAGGAGGTGACACGGATGTTGCATATAGATGGGCAGGGCATGTGTACTTCAAATATTGAATCAGTTCCTGAAAGTGATTTTCAGACTGCTTAATATTCCCTTACATACAAAATAGCTAAAAGCTCTTGAACAATACAGAAGCAATAAAAAGAACATAACAATTTTCGCACAACACGGCCGGAACTATATATTAAAATCGGACCTTCACCGTCACTTCTAGTGGTAGTTTAACATTTAAACATGATCCACAAGGTAAAGTTAGAGCATTATAAGTTGCACCGAGACAGAAACGATGCTCAAAATATGACAGCGACAGGAATAAGGAAACACCAAAATTTCAAAGTTTACAAAGTATTTGGCTATAAGGGCATCACCAAAGAATCTGTAGAGCATATGGAGCATGTATAATAAGATGGATGGAAATGTCCATCATTGCTCATGTGCCTTTGAGATAGATGTTTAAGGGTCTTCTGCTAGCTGATTTGCAATAGGTGATTGGATAGTAGTGTGAGGTGGTCTTTATTTAATTCAGTGTAGGTTTTTAATAGAACTTAATTATTCACTGACATTAACTTCATTGGTACTCCCACTGTCCCAGAATTGTTGACGTTTTAGAAATTAGAAGTGCACAATATTAAGAATTTAAGAACCTGACTAAAAGACACTTCTGTTGAGTATTATTTAAGTTATTACTAGAACTTTACTTCTTTTTAATGTACAAAGTATTTAATTCCGAGAGAATTAACACGGAAACTTTGGAATATTAATAAAAAAAATGCTTTAAATTCATATAATGATAATTATTGTAGGGAAAAAAAGTTGCAAAACAACATACTCCCTCCGTCCATAAATAAACTTCCCGTTCACTATTCATAGGGTCAAACTTTGTTCACTTTGTTCGCTTATTATCGTCACTCATTTGATAAAATAATATAGTTTTTTACTCTAGTTTTGTACTCCGTAGATCTTTTGATATAGTTTTTTAATAAGAAATTTTTATTTTTAAATTCTACACCATTTTTCATATAAAATGATTTGAAAATAAGTTCAGTCAAACATCGTAACGCGCAACGGGAAGTTTATTTGTGGACGGAGGGAGTATAATTTTGGAGGGGGACAGTAAATGGCTTGAGTCAATTCTCATTATCTAAACAAGACAGACGTGCGTTTGTGTGTTGTGCTTGGGGTGGGGGGGGTATATACAAGTAATATATAACCCTCAAGACAAATCATGAGCATTACTTTGCAGCAAACATACTACTACACTAATCAGAAAAGTAATTATTTGTTAATTTCCAGTGTCAATGAATGATAAGGATAAAACATAGGAACAAACCCTGGATCCTGCTATATAACCGCCACATGATCCAAATGATTTTGTGAATGTTCCCATCATGATATCCACATCTGCAGTGTCAACCCCTAACAGCTCACAAACACCCCTACCAGTTTTTCCAACTGCTCCAATGCTGTGAGCCTCATCCAAATAAACATATGCCTGAAACAAGAGCACGATTGTATTTAAACTCATTACCATCATCGCCTTAATCCCAATTCCCAAGCATTTTGGGGTCCATGTCATGAAATTTAATACGGAGTAATTTATGGCGTCAATTCCAAAAAAAACTAAAATAAGTCTTTTCCACACAATGCGAGGTTGGTGTCATAAAATTTTAGGGACTCAATAAAATGGTCTAAAATTAGTTGACAAATTCAGGTGAGAGGCCATTCTAGTCACAACAGTCTTATAAAGGAATACAGAAATTACATACAAAAATCACTTTCATCCTATGTTTTTCCGACTTGTGTTGAAAATATCATAACTTGGCAATGGGTTGAAATATTTTCTATAGACATGTCCTATTATAAGGCTGATTCTGTAAAATAAACAGGCATGTCAATGAGCCTGAGCATGCAATTAAACAAAAAATGTGCAGCTAAATATTCCAGAGTTTTACTAGAAACTTATGTCAACAGGGGCCTAGATGGGGTCCATGGGGAAATATGTTAACCCATGTACTCAACACAATTTCTCATTTTCTTTCTCACAGACTTGTTCCAGGGAGCAGAATGGATAAGATTCTAGATTTGTTACCTCTATTTCAAATATTAAGAAAGAATATGGCCTCTATTAGCTGGTTGTCATACAAAATACCATCTAAGGATACAGTACCTTGTACTTTTTGCATATGGAAACAATTTCCGGAAGTTTGCAAAGTTCGCCTTCCATGCTGTATATGCCCTCCACTACAACAATGATTTTTTTCCAAGGCCTGTGTGTTCTGGGTATCCCTTCAGCAATTTGTTCTCTCAAAACCTTCTCCAAATGGGAAGGTGCTGCAAGTGCCACAGTTATACAGATTAGATTATATGGATAATCTATTATATAAGCATATATAACAGGAAATATAGATACCATTTTACACTCAAGGTATTACTACTGGGGATCCTCTCACTTCCACGTCTATTTTATTCCACTACTATTGTTTTCTGGGGAATATTATGGTGAGACAAGCATCTCAACTATTTCATTTATCCCCCCAAAACAAAAATAGCAGTAGTGGAAGGAAATAGAGAAAGAGAGAAATGGTTGGAATGTGAACTTNTAGAAAACTCACTGTTATGCTGGAATACACGAATAGTTGCTCCAGAGCCTCGAGCTCCATTAACAATTGAATTGTGGTTTAGAGAATCACTAATTATCAAGCCTCCCTGGAAATGATTATAAACTGAGTGCTAATGAGAAATATAATTAAGAAGGCAGATGATAATGATAGTGCTTGTTGAGGATACCTTTCCAACCAAGGCAGGAAGAATAGCTGAATTTGTCACATAGCCCATGCCAAAAACCAATGCAGCTGGTTTGCCAACAAAATTAGCCACACACTCCTCCAATTCAGTGTGTAATGACAGGGTGCCTGCCAACATAATTTGCATAGAATGAATAATGTAACAGTAGTCCTTTTATTTTGAAAAAGAAGTGTTAAGAATTTAGTTATGAAGCCTACCTCCATCAACACGGCTACTACAAGTGCTGGGTGAAAATCTTTTCAAAGAGTCAATTACGCGAGGAGTGCAATATTCATCAGATGCAGCAAAACCAAGATAATTATATGAGCCCAAGTTAAGGCACTTGGTAACTTTTGTGGTACACCTACACAAATATGTTGAATGGATTTTTGTAAAAAAGAAATCTGAGATCTGAAAGTGGGTTGCAGCAAAAAGCAGCAGACTAACAGAGTAGCCAGAATTGAAGGGAGTCTGCACAAGAAATACTCCATACTAGGAGTGCAATACTAACTTAAGAGTTTTATTATTGTCCTTGGACACTCGTTCCACCACGTCAAACCAAGCATCGGGAGGACCACAAATTGGACGCCCAAAACAATCCTGCAAAGAGTTGAGTTCATGAAACGAATAAACTCCCATACCAGAGAATAATTTGTTTTGGTAATGAATTCATGTAGCTTTTTTTGAACTAATCAGTAAGCTAAACTGAGGAAGATGAAAGGGTAACTTTACAATAAAACCCTTATTTCTGCATCATTGTAGGTAGATTCCAGTCCAGACCAACAAAGACTAACTTTAGGGCCATAGTCTCAATTTAATTGGAACATTAAAAATGAAGAGCATAAAGATGGCACCATGGGAGATACAAATCAAAAAGTTACTTCTTGTCTCTCTGCCAGCTCTCAGGTTTTTAATCAATCATTCTGAAGTCTAAACCATTCATCATAGTAAATCATGAGTAGATCACTTATCCACTATTATGAATACACATCACGGCAGTGAAACACTAAGATTAGAAAGGACAACATACCTGAATCCGAAGATACAATCGGCGAATGTAGAAATCTTCGAGCCCTAAGCAAATCGGAGCAAATCCCTGGCGTAACAAGCAGAGCGGAAATTCAGTCCACCGTGAGATGATTACACAATCAAAATGAACCAAAAACGCATGCAACATGCACCTGGAGATTGCTGGAATGCCACCAATCGAAGATTTTTCTGAAGAAGTCGCGGAGTTGGCCAAAGGCGAAGAGGAGGACGTAGCTGAAGAAGGTGGTCAATGCGGTGAAATACGGGATCGTGATCATTTTGGAGCGGAGATCGGCGCGGATCAGACGGCGGAGGGGAGAAACCGCCGGCGGCGAGGGATTGAGATTGGATTTTCACCCAAATCCAATCCCCTCTCTGTCCACTAGATTCTGACGAGGTTTATATGAACTCTTCGCAACGATGAACAATGAAATCGAAATTCGAAAAAGTAGAATTCAGAAAATTTTGATTTTTGTTGGATGGGGTTTTGCTGGTGCAGGCTGTTTTTCTGAATGATTGATTATCCGACAGCCATGGGCGGTTCTGGAAAAGATGAATCTTTGAAAGTTCAAAAATAAAAATTCTGCGCAGTCAACATATCTTTTGTTCTCCCACTCGTGAAAAAACATTAGCTTTTTTAAAACACAAAAATTACTTTAGGGTCCGTTTGGCACGTGGAATTGACGGAATTAGAATTGAATTGGAATTGAAATTCCTTGGGATTCAATTCCATAAAATTGAATTCTGACAATTCCAATTCATTTTTTACACTATTAATTCCAAATCTACATAATTTTTGAGCTACCAAACACCGGAATTGGATTTGAAGCCCTCAATTCCAATTCCATGGTTTGAATTCCATGTACCAAACAGGGCCTTAGGGTAAATCTCGAATTTTTCAAAGAATTTCAATGCCTCACATCATTCAAAAAATATTTTGGTGTACTGTCGATTTTGTGTTAAAAATTTTTAGATTTCACATTTGAAAAAAAAAGTTCGAAGACTCTTAAAATTTGTGGTGATGTATTTTGATGGTAGATTCTGTCTATTTGGTTGATGTGATTGAAGTTTTGTTAGCTTGACAAACACTAAATTTTACCTTGATAATCTTTATTTTATTAAATTTCTATAAAATCATTTGATTTATCAAAGTAACAGAACTTTTAAAATCAATGGCTAAATGAACAAAATGTATCCTCGGAATATAATATCATAAATTTTAATAATCCCGAAGTGTATTTCAAATAATGTGGGATTGGAGAATTTTTACTAGATTATCGAGGGTACCACAAAGTATGTTTCAAATGATTTTGAACTCGGAAGTTTTTTACAAGAAAATCGAGGATATCTTGAAGTAATTTTCTGATTTTTTAAAGGCTATATCCATCTTTCCTCTCTATGGGACAAAAAGTGGAACTGCAAAAGAAGGAAGAGAGGGTGTGAAAGATGAAGCGACCATCGCATCCGCCGCGCCACACGCCTCCCTACAACTTGCCGCAGCCCTCTCCCATTGCAGCACTTGCGTCACAAAAACCGCCCCAGCGCACGCCCCGTAAGCGACGCTGAAAAACTGGCGCATTTTCACGGCGACCGCCCACTGCAGGGGCTCGTCGCAGTGCAATTACTTTAAAAAAATTAATCTTATTAATTCAACACATCTTCCATTTCAATGCATCCACTCTCAGCTCTTTCAAATTACCTATTTTTTTTATATATTTCTCTTCATCTCTCTCAAATTACAAAAAAAATAGTTCTTCCTCCAAGAGATGATTGAAGTCGTGGATATGCTAATTGCGGCGTACCTGGCCTATTTGCCTTACATCCAAGCGGAGATGCAATGCGAAATTGCTCAACAAGCTGCAACGGCTGCTACTCCTCCCGTTCCACGTACGCGGGTATACATTCACTGTGAACGTGAGCAAGCCATTGGGGTGGCTACTCACCCTCGACGATCATGCTCAAGGATGTTGTCGACTATTGTCTGTACGTGGACCTGACATGCCTACTTTGAAGTCGCCAGATCGAACAACGATCTGGATGTGTTGAATGTGTCCCCTCTTTATTCAACGATGTTTGCGTTGGACGTGCGGCTGTCGTGCAAAATATAACATGGGACATTACTTGGCGAATGAGATCTATCCAAGTTGGCCAATGTTTGTGAAAACAATTACGTGTCCGACAAATCCAAAGAAAGCATTGTTCACTCATAAACAAGAGTCTGTACGAAAAAATGTGTAACATGCCTTCGGAGTCCTTCAATATTGTCTAATCTTTAACGTTAATACTTAATACTTTGTATTATATTGGCAATTCCACTCTATATATGAGTGGTTGTTCAAATTATAACAAGGCATTGACTCGTGCTTCAATAAATTCATAAAATATACTTGGAATATATTTTCTATCAGATACTACATTATAATATACTTAATATTACTCAAAAAATTAAAAATAAATTTTACATTGGCTACATTTTCTTTATACAATGTCGAATTATCCTCTATTCCTACACTTGAAAGTTCCAACAAAAACACATTCCAAGATAACAAATACTCTCTCCGTTCCCCATAGATCTTCTCAATAGCCCCTTTTTTTTGTCCACAATAGATCTTCTCATTTCATTTTTTAACAATTAAAATACCATAACTACCCCCACTTTATGGTAAACTTTCACCTTTTTTCAACTCTCCTTAAAAACCACCAAAAGTCAAAATGAGAACATCTTACGGGAACGGAGGGAGTACAATTTTGCTCCATTTCGGATTTTCAACCAGATAATTTCACTTTAAACATTGTGTGAAAGTCTAAGTGGGACAATTTCAAAGGGATAGGTAGAGTACTCAACTGAAACCAACCAAAATGAAAATAAGTTTAAAAGATACACACAACATTAAAAAAAAGTCTTTGCAAAAAACCCAAAGAACGTTCATAGAAGGAAAGTTGTAACACCACATAAAATAACAAAAAATTCGGGTACTCTCGATTTTCTGATGATAACTCTATTGTCCCACATTTTCTGAAATATACTCTCCTCGATTTCTTTGGAAAGGAACTCTCAAATCCCACATTATCCAAAATATACTTCATGATATGGTACATTATCTCAATTGAGACATTAGATTAAAATTTCTTTTACTTTGACAAATTTTATTTAAATCTAATAAAAATAATGATTATCAATATAAAATTTAATATTTGTCAAAGTAGCGGAACTTTCAATCATAGCAGTCGAATAAACAAAATGTGTCTTTGGAGTACATTACCACAAAATTTAAGAACCCCTGGAATATATTTTAAACAATGTGGAACCTAAGATATCTTACCAAAATGCCAAAGACAGCCCAAGGTATATTTAAGATAATGTGTGACATGAGGGTTATTATTCGAAAATCAAAGGTACCCAAGATTAATTTTCAGATAAAATAATGATAATACATTAATACCATTAGAAGAGAATGTGTGATTGTCAACTAGTCATACAAGAGAAGATGCCGCAATTGATGGTTTCAATCATATCATAATGTGAATCACCAATGTATATAGATATGCTCACAATATACTACAAGAACTACTACATACTAATCTCATGAAGCCCAAGATACCGAGTCGATTTCGTCCCTCGCTTTCTTGTACAGTTCGAGCCTCTTGGCACATTGCTGTCTCTTCTCCATCAAAGCCGGGTCTTCGTCTAACAATTCCCCAAGAGCCTTGCCCTGAGAAATGTTTCACAAATCTCTCAGCGCCGCAATATTTTGATGATTAAATTCCACAAATGGTCCAGTGTGTTTGGGGATATTCCACGTTTAGTCCATTACTCTATAAAATTCCATTAGAGGTCCGCTTTTATTGGTGATCATTGCCAAATTTAGTCCACTTTGCATCAAATGCCCTCAAAATGATACACTAACGAAGAACGAAAAGTAGCAATGTTCCCACTTTTTCAGAACCTTAGTTGGTACTTAACTTGGGAAAATGCTCACAATTAACATGAACTTTCAATGAAATTTAATTAAGTAATGGACTAAATGTGGAATATCCTTAATTATAGAGGACCATTTATAGCATTTACTCTATTTTGATTCAGAACATGCATTTTTCATACTGTGTGCGATGTAATTTAATTCACTTTTTTTGCAAATATGTACACATTGCTAAAGGAGCTAAAAGAGTCATTGTTGACAATGTTTTAGCTTCCGGGGAAAGGTTGTGTACAAGTTGACCCTAAAACCCCATCCATTCATAGATCAAAGTAAAGCTTAATGGCCAGAATTAGTACCTCTCTCTTCCCAATATGTACGTAAAAGTGATTCAATAAAGAAGTCTTGGCTTCTTTCACTTGGCAATGAACAACGGCCTTTGGGATAGTGTTTCTCAGAGTGTCGGAAACCATAGTCACGTAAGATGAGACGTTTAACCCAATCCTCCTGAAGTGAGCATCCGCATACCGATCAGCAGCTGCTGCTGGTGCTGGGTTTCCACCTTTCTCCACCTCCTGTGGAAGCTTCCTGAAATAATCAACTGTGAGGTATGAAGCCTCCATGTCCACGAGTCTAGTGACTGTCTTTTTGCTTTCATCACGAAATTTTTCCAAGGATTCATTAGATGCTGCAGCTATTGCTGTTTGTAGACTGGGAAACCGCTTCAACTCCTGTATTTCATCAGTGATATTGGAGACCATGAGAATGAAATCATGAGGGAGAGGGAGGAAACAAAATTAACTCTCAGTATTAAAAACATAAAAACAAACTCTTGCCTGGCATTCTCCAATTGACTTCCTCACAAGTTCCTTGAGAACAAAATGAACCTGATTTTGTATTTTTAGTCAGGTACACATACAACTCAAGACTAGAGAGGTGCATACACACATGAAACAAACATAAAGACTTGTTAAACACTCACAGCATCAACAGAAGCTTCTGCTGGGCCTCTAAAATAATTAAGTGATCCCTCAATAAGCCGTCTATAACCCTGCTCTGGAGCAATCAAGTGAGGCTGGTAACCGTCAGCCTCAGAAACAACTTTCCTCACATTTTGCGGGGATAAATGCCGATCAAATGGAAGTTTCTTTAGGGCTGCGGGAAGCTGATTATCAAAAACCCCATAGATCCGATCACCACCGGGTCGGCTGATTTGATAAATGGAAATGTATGTTATTAATTAGAGAAATCCTATGAGACCAGCAAAGAGCTCAAGTACCACTGCAAATAGAAGTGTGATCAATAATAGACCCTGCCTTATGTGCATATTAGGCAGCTAAAAGATGGAATTTTGTTCTGAAATACATGAATTTTGTTTTGTTTCATTCCGCCAAAGGCACAGCCCTTTAATTAAGTATTCCATCAAGGTCAATGCCTTAAACGTGTGGGACTACTGCTGAAAAAGCCTTTATTCATCCATGGCCAACTCAATGTTGCTAAAGACGAAACCGAAAGTTAAAAAAGAAAAAAAAAGTAGCCTGGTTTGATTTACACTAACTTTCCAAATTGATGGCAGTTCAGTTTGATTTTTTTAAATTTATTTGACAGCATAGTTTCAATTTTTTATTACATAGTAAAAAAAACTATACTAGAAGTAAATCAGTCTATTATTTTAATGTCGGTTCTATCTTTAGTTTTTTCCCTAAAGATCAAATTGGGAAAACGGAACCAACCAGTACACCATGCAAACATTCTAGAATTAAAGTGAACTCATATCAATATATAATTTGATTCACACTTTACAAAGTCATAAATTTATTTCTGAAGTTCTTAAATTGGGTTCCATCAAATATAAATGTGAATGTACAATTTTCTTGATAAAGCCATTTTGATACGTGATTTGTTCATATTATGCTAATTTAGATCTAGGTTTTATGGACTTGAGTTAACAACATAGAAGAACAAATGCAAAAATATCATTAATTAAGAGCATTTTCCGTCAGTAAAATTTGATGGTGGAGATTTTGAGCTAATAGGCCACAGAGTGGGCATTTTTTGAGTCAATAAATAACATTAGGGGCATATTTGAATCAATGGGTGGAAGGATGGAAAATTTGCTATATTTTCAATACATTAGGGGCATTTTTTAACATTTCCCCAAATAATAATACTCCGTTTTGATGAGCATATCAGTATTCTTGTTTTTTAAGATTTCCCCTAATTAATTTTGACATTTTCCCTAATTAAATTTGGACAGATATATAAATCATAATATGTAAATTAACAGCTTTAGGAGAATTCTAGACAAAACAAGTGCACTGCATAATCAAAGCAATGACTATGGAAGAAGTTGAAACATAAAACTGCTCACCCTCCATCCAGGTGCTCTTTAAATATTTTGTCAAAGGCACGGCATAGCTCCAAGATAGTGTACAGCTGAGCCTGAAGAAAAGTATCCATTACCAACACAATTGAAAAGAATTCCAAGACTAGCAATAGCAGTATGAGAGAAATTCAGCTCACCCCTGCGTCAACGGCAATAGGCCTTCCAAGGTGGTCCATCTCTGATTCTAGTTCCTCAATGCTTTTGTTGATCAAAGAGGTGATACTTGGTAATCTAGCCCTAATTACAGACTCCAAGTGCTGAAATCAAGATTTTTGAAATGTGATCTCCATTCTAAGCCACCAGAAGACAAGCTAAAGGGTTCAAAAAGAAGAATGTACCTTTGAGAGAAGCTTTGCCAGGTACTCTGAACCCATTTTACTTGCAAGGTGTCCATAGTCAGGACTTGTAGCAAAATACTCACGCTCTTTTCTTCTTGCAACAATCATATCAGTATTTCTGTTAATATCAGCTTGAGAACGGTTCACAATACCCACCCAAGGATGTTGCAATCGATAAGCTCTGCCTTCAAGAACCTTCAGCAAGAAACAATTGAAAATGTCAGGGGTATAAGGTACTAGATGATCAATTGGCACTGCGTAATTCCATACAACAGACAGATGCTCATTATGAATGTTATTTGAACACCACTAAAATGAAAAGAGAGAAGAACGCACATCCAATGCATTGGTTCCTTTATCCATCAAATCTAGCTTAGTAAGCACTCCAAATGTCCGGTCACCTGCAAGAGCATCCAAAAATTATTAAAGATACTCAAAAGAGTTAGAAGTAGAAGAAATTCAGGTTGTTCCGAATAAAATATACCTGAGGGGTCCACTTCCCTGGCAAGTTTTATTGCATCTGAAGTGGCAATATCCTGGTTAGCTGGGGATATTGCTAGTATAATGCAGTTGGGCTACAATGCCATAAGAACGAGTATTAAATATGGAGTAAATCACAAAGTAAAGAAACATCTGCAAGAGTCAAGACCACATGAGTAGCATCTATCATTTGTGAGAAAACAACAACAATTGTGTACTTGTTTATTGAAATTTAAAAACCTAACATAAAGCTCAAAAAATAACAGTGTACTGTAGTAACTACATAGCACAAAATTTAGCATTAGCCTATGGTGATGTAAAGTCAATTTATTCAATTAGTGGAAGAAAATTCTGATTCAATGACAGTAAAATTCTAAAGGAGTGTAATGATACATTACCTTCTCAACATAGTTCCGGACCATGTTTTCAATATCTTCAACTATACTTTCAGGTTGCCCGTCTGCAATGCACAAGTGTGTTTAGATTTACAAAAAGTTGGAACTACACATGAAAATCAATAAGTGAACAAAGAAGTATAAATATATTTAAAAAAGAAGAATCACAATACCAACAGCAACTTTAGTCAATCCAGGCAAATCAATCAGTGTTAAATTGACCACTGCAAACATAAATAAACCACAAGTTGTCAGGATGTGGACATTCAGGAAAGAGATGGAGATAGTATAACTGCAGTATACCGTTTGGGGAGTAGATGCTGAGGTGGATGGGAACATTAGAAATTTGTTTTGTTTTCCCAGTGATTCTATCAGTTTCATCCTGAATTTCCTTGCGAACCATAGCTACAAAAGACAAATTAAACAGTCATACTTACTAAAGAATTTCACAAAGCAATAGAAACAGTCATACTTACTAGAGAATTTCAAATTAAACAGTGATACTTGAGGAACTTATCAATAAAGGAACTTATTCATCTCCTGAATTTCCTTGCGAACCATAGCTATAAAGGAACTTATTAATAAATTGTAACAAAGCAAGAGAATTTCACATACCGAAATCAGTAAATCTTTTTCGTGGCAAATGAGAGAATTCTGCATACTCTTGCTGCCCGCCATCTGTCTTGTGCAACTGCAATACCAATGGCCGCCTGGTAACAATCCCTAAGAGACCAACAAAGATACTTTCACTCAAAATTACCAAAAAAAGAGTTTCAGAATTGAATTCCACTGATCAGAGGGGCTTACCAGATCCTCTAGGAAGAAAATCCCTCCCGACCACGCTTTCCAACACGGATGATTTTCCAGAACTCTGAACTCCATTAAAAAAAAGTTCAGCTAGAACCAAACTCCAAATTACTGAGAAAATAATGAAAGGCAGAGGATAGACAGACATCTAGGTCGCTCATTTCCCATCAAAACTCACAATGGACACCAAATTATCCACTCAAGTCTCTCATCAGCTCTTGTGCAGCTTAGATCTGTAAATGTCTACCCAATCTCTCTATCTCTCTGCTAAAATCCAGCCCAAATCTAGTCTACCAAACAATGCATATTCCGACTTCTACACTAAAAACAACGGAAAGAAACCAGCAGCAGACAGTGCAGAAATGAATCGATAAGACAGACTGACCTGACCGCCCACGACGGCGACGGACGGAAGAGCGTCCCAGAGAGAAGAGAAAGCGTTATCACCGCCGCCGTAGTCTCCCAGAGCCGTACAGGCTCTCTGAATCCTGTTCACCAACCCGATCAAGCTCTCCATGGTCGACATCTTCACCTCGCAAAATCACCGCTGCTCCAACCAGATCTGAAGCTTTTGGCCCAACAATTCACCAACAAAAACACAATTTATTGAACGAAGAAGATGAAATTTATGAATGAAAACTCCTGCTAAAGCGAGAAAACAAGGGAAGAGATTGAAATTGGACTGGGATTGAATGCGAATTGTAAGAAGAATTTTGTAGTGAGAGAATCTAGGGAGAAAACAGAAAAGCTTTCTTGTCCGGATTGTTCAGCTGCTGTGGTGGGGTGGTACTTTAGTGCTTAACCAGTTGTACCTTTTACTCTCTTCAAGTTTTGAATTTCTTACTGGCAAATCTCCTTTCGAATTTTGAAACGTTAACAGTAAGGCCTATGAATTTTTTTTGTCTAAAGAAAAGAGTTAATGTATAAATCAGTCTATATTAAGTTAAATGTTTCATAGACATTACAAATACGGAATATTGTTCCGTGTTTGTAATGTTTATGAAAGTATTTGAGGTCAAAAGTGAGGCTAATATAGTTTTTTCATGTATAAATAGCACCGTTGTCTTTTACAAATATGCAAGTAATTCGCAAATTTTAAAAGTTGGAGTACCATACTAAATAATTTGTGTTGTCAAAAAATTGTTGCATAAGTAAATTTTTTCTTTGAGAGTACGTAAAGCACGGAGAACGCATGCATATTATACGAAGATGTGAAATATGTAACAATAAAAAAGTTGATCTGTAGTTTTAATTATGATGTGTAAGCTTGAACCGTAATACAATATTTTCTATCTTTTAGTTCAACTCTCACAACTACTTCTTCATGTCTTCCAGAGTAATCTTCTTGAACAATAGTACAATGTTCTAAATAAATTCGGCATTATTTTGTTTTTCAAGTAGCTTTATTCTAAAGTAAAGTCGCATGGTATAAGAGGTGAAAGAATATTCTTCCCTACTTTTAACCACCAAGACAATGGCAATTTTATCAAATTAGCTTCTTTATTTTGTTACTCCCTCCGTCGTCACAGTGTATTTGTCTAGTTTAACTTAAAAAAAGTCAAACTGGACAAATACACTAAGACATAGGGAGTAATTCACATTTTCAGATATGATGTATGTGTTTTGTGTGTTTCGTAATTTTTCGTAAACAAAGGAGTAATTGTACAATGTTTCTTTGATCACATGAAATATTTCACAACTTTTGAATATTTAAAAACTATTTACTCATTTATGAAATACATGAGGACAATTCAATTATGTATATAACTCTAAAAAATACTCCTTCCAAAAACAATTCTTATTTTGGTTTTGACAAATTTAAATAGAGTGTAATTTGTAGTTGATTTCTCAATTTTACTAAGATGTGATCGGTAGAATAGGAACCAAAATTTGTTAAAATGAAAACAACAATATCATTATTGCCTCAAAGTAAATTCTATAAAATCAATGGAGGAAGAATCCCAAACACCATAAAAAGAGACTCCGAATTCCTAACTAACTCATGAGCAACAATATCTTGAAGTAAAATTTGTATTAAATAGGACTAAAACATAATGACTTTCCTGATGTAGGACTTAAACTTTTTTATTCTCTAAATAGGACTTAATAATGAACTAGTGGAAGGAATAATGTCTAGTAATGATGGACATTTAGTTGAATAATGACTACTTGATAATGACCAAAAATCCTACATTGGGAAATAAAAACATATGGTCCTATATTGGAAAAGTCATTATGTTTTAATCCTATTTAGGTAAATTTCTCTATTTTGAAAACAAGAGACAAATTGAAAAGTAATAAAAGCATCGGAAAATATCATTTTCGGGTACTTCTTTACCCCATAACCGCTAACCATTTTCTCCAAGTGAACTACCATTTCCCTCCCATAAGATATTCCTCACTCACTCCACAACCACCTTGGGCGTAATTTCGGGCAAGGTCCCCTTCTACTTTGGGCCTAGAAGAAAAAAAGTACTCCATTAGTTATATACTCCCTCCGTCCCCAATTAGATTATAATATTTTCTCTTATTTTTGTCCCAAAAAGAATTACAAAGTGTTTACTTTTACACTAAATGGACTCTTTTACCCTCCCTCCCCTTTATCATTTCAATGTCAAAATCTCACCCACCCACCCATTCATATACTATTTGGGGGGTAATTTGGGAAAAAAAATACTAATTTGACTCTTCCTTAATTTTGTCTAAAAAGAAATATTGTAATCTAAAAGGGGACGGGGGGAGTATATTTGTTGGGTCGTAAATAGGGCATCTATAAGTATCATGTGCTGTCGTGCGGACTCTATTTCCTGTCACTAATCTATAATTAAAATCTAATTTACCTTTTTTCAGTGACCGTCTGGTGGGATCCTGAAGGGACTCTCAGGTATGAGCTCATCCTTTTTTGGGTCTTAAATAATTTTTAACACAATCAAACAACCCTAAAAACTAAAGTCTAGTCTAGTCCATACTAAACATTTGGCCATTTTATTATTTTTATTTCAACATTTTTTATGATTCCAATTAAAAATATTAGGTATCTTATCAAGCCCACATTTTTCTCAAAACGTAAAGCAAATGCATATTGTGATATTGAAATAGTAAAATCTTAAACTAAGATTTGCAAATACCAAGAATAGAATCTGAAAGTAAAATTCATTTAAAATATGATAGTTAAACTAAATTATAATGTAGTCTGTCGATTATATTTTACCTTTGTTTTGATTTTTTCATTTTAATTATTTAAAAATAATTTTGGATCTCCAACAAGATCTTTTCATGGCTAGATACGTCAATGAATACATTTATGTTTAGAAATATTTGCAGCAAATAGCAGTAAAACATACGCCATTTTCCAATGTAAGATTTAAATTTTTTATTCAATAAACAGCACTTAATAATGTCTGGAAGGAGGAATTATGTCAAGTAATGATGAAGATTTACTTGAATAATGACTAAAAGTGGTTCATTAAAAAATAAAAACATATAATACTATTTAGAAAAAGTCATTATAGTTTAATGTTATCTATGTCAATTTCTCTTATGTTTACTCCTTTGCTTAGTTTAGGTGCAAAAAGAGACTGCAAAGAATGCCGGAGTTGAGGGCTCGAATCTATATATATATATATATATATATATATATATATATATATAAAATCAAAATTGAGAAAACTTCCATCCAATTTCGGTCTAATCGGAAGGTCCAATTTCATTTCCGAATTCTAATTTGACGGTCCAATTTCATTTCCAAATATCGTCCGATATCCATGGCTATTCAGTTACGCAGGAGAATTGCGGTTTCCATTTCTGCGCCTCACCCAACATGTCTTCCTTCTCTTTTCTAAAGACCACTGTAAAGTTTGTCATTCTACTCACGTGTCACACGCTGTCTGGATAGTTTTTTATTGGTTGAAATATGTTATGTCAGCATGTAGCATTCTAATTTTTTGTCTCACTATTGTTTGTGCTCTTACTACAAGTGTAAAATGATCACACTCGACCAAAAATATATCGTTTTCATTACTCGTAGTAAGGATTTTTCTCACCTGAACACATATGTAAAGGTTCACATTTTTATACGTAGAAATTTAAAATTTTATGAGTCACGCACTAAATGGGAAGGGAGGAAGTAGTAATTGATATAAGGGTATTGCTACGGTACCTTTGAAAAGGAAGAGGCATGGATGCCCCTCCACTCAATTCTTGCCAAGTGGATTGAAAATCAAAGTGATGTCCACCTCATTTCAACTTTTCAAAATTAGAAAATTACCCTGCCTTTGGTCTGTTCACATATTTGGACGACATTGACGGAGCCCTGTTACTCCACCCCGTCTCTTTTTTTTTTACGCACCACCAATTCGCAATCGGAAAAAATTGACTCTGCCCGGCCCCTTCTTCATCGCAATCACAGCGCCGCCACCTCCGCCGCCGCCGTTGCCGAGACATCTTCTTCAATTTCCGACCAGGTAATCCATTCATGTGCTCAATATGTTTGATATTCGCTTTTGTCAAAATCAATTTTAAACCCTAAAATATATTATCTCGAATTCTTCTGAAATTTCTGTTTGGAACAAGGATGTCTCGGCGACAGCGTCACAACTGCAGCATCGGTGGCGGCGTCGGCGGTGGCTTATCCTCTTTCGGGGCGGCGCTGTGATTGCGATGAAGAAGAGGCCAGCGTAAGTTTTCTCTGGATTGCGATGAATGGGGCAAGGTAAAAAAAAGAGACGGAGTGATGAGTAACAGGGTTCCGTCAAGTGCAGTCCAAGATGTAACACAACCAAAAAGTCAGGACTATTTTAGAATTTCAAAAAGATAATGTGAGGTGGAATAATTTATTGATGACTTTAATTTTGAGTCCACTTTGCAAGAATTGAGTGGAGGGGCATCCATGCCCCTTCCTTTTCAAGGGTACCATAACAATGCCCATTGATGTAAAGTCAAAAGTAAAAGTTAATGTAAAAAGACTGGGAGTCTCGGACCAATACTATATCGATAACTTTTCTCGAAAGTTGTCCTAACTCGTAAGTTTTGAATTCATATCCTATATTTATCCAACTTGTCAAATACTTTTGATAAGTTGATTAATATTAACATTTTCTATAAAAATTTAATGGTATATATATTAATTCAAAAAAAAAACTAAGGCTGAGGGGTATGGAGAGCGAAAAGGCCTAGCTGGCACGTCATGTTGGAAGGCAATTGTTGGTGATTTTAGTGTTATTAGTTATTTTGTGTGATTAGGTTTACTTAGATCAAACAAGAATTTGAATAAACGTTGCGCAGAGTGCGGACTCGTTCAACGATATTACAAATTCATAGCAGGGGTCCGGGGGTGGCATCCCCGGACGAGGTCCAAGGGCCAAAGCCCCTAGGCGGGGTCGAAATTTTTTATTTTGGACATTATTTCTTTATGCAAATCTTTTAGATTTTCGTGAACAGAGTCCAAAATATTAGAAAACCCTGGACTTCGGATAAGGACCGATTTTGACCAAACTTTACGAACGTTTGCGTCCAAAATCTGAAGTCTGTGATTATCCTTACCGCACGAAAGTTTGCAAAGTTTTACACGAAAGATTGTGTCTAATCACCGATTTTGATCTCTATAAATAGAGATGCTTGGGTATGGTTGAAGATACATTTCAAAAGGCTGGTACGTTCTTTATTAACGTCTTATCCGATTGAAGTATTCCGTATACTCCAAAATAACTTTTATCTGAAAATGTTTTTATGCATACCCTATCAAGTTGTTCTTCTCATTCTTCATTAAGGCTGCTCTGCAGCGTTTTTCCTCCACAATATTTTCCTACAGGAACACCGCCTCCCCTATGGCCCTATGTATGGACGGGAATGGCGGGTTCTCCTTCTCGTTTTTCCCGTGCGGCTCCCTTTGCCAAAAATTGAC